TGGCCCTAACCTAGGGTCTGAAGCTGCAGGGAGTGCAGCCCAGATCAGTGCTCTGCTCTAGCCATCCCTGGTGATTATTCCTCAGATGTGGAGGGAGGTACATTCACCCTTCACCTTCTAATGCCCCATCTATCCTATGCTTCTCTGGGGGCCTTCTCTAGCCACAAAGCCTCCTTCCTTATAGAACCCAGGTCAGGAGCTGCAAGAGGAAGGAGGTGGGCCCTGCTCTCTTCTCGCAATGGCTGAAAGGAACACTGTAGCTGTCAACTGCAAGGGCCATGGGCACAGGCTGATTTTTCTTCTGGTCAATAAAGCTGTTTATAACTGAACCCTGGTGTCTTGAGCCTGTGTCTGTAGGGCCCTGCCCTACCCTGGGGACTAGCAGGAAATTAGGTTGCACATTTGTTCCTGTGTTTTCCCCTTTTCCTTTGTGGTTCAGGCTGGACTTGAACTCACTATAACTCAAGCTGGCCTCCAACTCATGATCTTTCTGCCTCAGCCTGCCAAGCTTCAGCCTGCCAACTGCTATTACAGGTGTTCACCACCAGGTCTAGCCTGCTCCTGCTTTTTTCAAGGACAACTAGCTTTTCCGTAGCAGTATTAACTGAAGGGACCCCACCAACAGACCAATGTTGCCTGTCTTGTCTGGCTTCTACCCATACATTTTGGGCATGGGAATTGTTTGGACACTGGCATTTAAGAGTTTCAGCCAGGCCCTCACTTGGAAAGCCCCAGGGTGAAATGGAAACTTGACCAGAGGAACTTTCTCATCAAATCCTAGAAGATGGCTTCTGGCTAAGGGACAAGGGGTGGGGAGCCTCGCTCAGCCTGTAGCACTTTGAGCACACTCCTCCCCAAACCAGACTTCTTATAAACAGCCCCACCGAGGGGGCGGCAGTGTCCTGTGTCCTACCAGCACCTGGCTGATGCTTCGTGGCAGGACTTCTCTGCTTCAGCCCTTGAAAGTGTGTCCACGCTGTGAATTTTCCAAGAGGGCTTTGCATGCACTCTGTCCAGCCGGCCAATCCAATAGTGGCTTGGACAGTCCCCTGCCCTCTAGGAAAGAACTATACATCTGTAAGATCAGTCAATGGCGCAGAGCAGTAGCAAAGCATAAGGTGACAGGTGAAAGCGCTGGAGATCCCAGGAAAAATGGGCATAAAGTCTCCTTTAACTTAGGCATCTGCCTTACCTTCATCCTAGCAGCGAGCCTGGCCCACTGGGGGCTGCCAGGAGAGGTCTGTGCGCCCAAGAGGATCGGTGGTTCCCAAAAGTCAAATGGATTCTCCCTTTCTGGGAAGGGCCGGAAGAAGTGGCCACCGCGGGTGCCTCTAGACAGCAAGCTGGAGTCTGGCAGCCCTCTGCTGGCGGCGCGGCCGGCCTTTCGGCAGCCGGCCCAGGCTTCCCTCCCAGCTACTGCTCCTCTTGCTGCCTCACTGCGGGACCCCTGCCCTCCCAGTGCAGGCCCTCGGTGGAAAAAAGAGCCGGCTTTGCAGCTCCGGGGAGTGAAGCTGAAGCCCTGCGTCACAGGCAGCTGAACCAGGAAGCGCTCGCCGGCACCGAAGGGCTGGGCGGGAGGAAGAGCGCTGTGAGGAAGAGCGGGAGGAACAGGAGAAAGGAAAAAGGCTTGGAATTCTCGGGCGCCGCGCCCGCGCTAGACTCACAGACAGCAGGTGGCGCTGTGGGGCCGACGCGCAAGGCAGATGCTCTGCGCATCCCCCGCGCTCTCCCCCTCCACCCTTACCTGGGGTCCGCAGGACTCTGCGCGGTCCACCGGCTCACGCGTCCCAGAAGCGCCTGTCGCGGAGGCAGTGAGTGCTCTAGCAGCGCCCCAGTAACCTGTGAGACTGACCAAAGGAAGAGAGTGAGCAAGGATCTTTTTTTTTTTCCGGAACCGGGGCAGGCCCTTGTGCTTGCCAGGAAATCGCCTATTCCACTAAGCCACCTCCCTGGCCCTGAGCAAAGATCTTGACGGCCATGTAGGTTTCGTTTTTGGTTCCTGTGTCCACGGCCCCCTGAGGGGAGAGCAGGGTGGGAGCAGTGCCCAGGTGTGGGAGTATCTCTGGGCTTCTAGGGTGTGAGGAGAAAGAGCTGCCCCTCCTGTTGGGAGGTGAGCCAGCCCTCTGCCTCCTCCAAGAACCTTAGCAATTTCTTTGAGTCACCTGAGTGCCTGGGAAGGAGCAGGGATTCCCAGTGGGACCCTGCCCGCAGGGTAAAGACAGAGATGAGGGAGAGATCTGAGGGTTAGAACTGCTATTAGGTGAGTAATCTCCTAACCAATGGCACAGAAACTCTGCGAGGGGTAGAAACCCAGAGAAGCTGCCTTTGGGCAGCCTGCCCAGGCCTCGCTCCCTGCCCCTGCTACTCTTGCTGTCCCGCTGCGGGACCCCTGCTTTCCCAGCGCAGCTCCACCGTGGAAAAAGAGCCGGTTTGCAGCTCAGGGGAGAGAAGCTGAAGCCCTGCATCACAGCAGCTGAGCCACACCTAGACCTGCTGAGGGTAGTCAGAGGAGAGGGTTGAGGACCCCTGGGGAGCCTCCCTAGATGGCTCCGCCCCCCAATTCCCTGGGCCTTGGTCCCTTCCTCCAGCCCTCCTCCTTCCTTTCCGTTTCACTCCCCACCTCTACCCATGTCCCCACACCGACCCCAACTCCTGGTCCTGCTCCAAACCCACTGCCTTCTGAGAGTCCCTGAGGGAGGGGAGCTTTTAAAATGGATTCCCAGCCCCACCCTTAGAGATTCTGATTAAGTTGGACTGAACAGGGCCTGGAAATCTGTATTTGAAAAGGTTCTTAGGTGATTTGAACATTCAAACTGGACCAGACTTGAGAATCTGTGATCTGTGGACTTACGCACCCCCCCCCCCAGCTCACCCACCTGAAGGGACAACTGCGGTGGTGCCCAGCTCAGCCCCCACCTGCCGCTGGGGCTGCCTGAAAACAGTTCTCATGATTCTAGAGGGCTTCCTGGAACTTCCTATTTCTGTCCCCTCCAGTCATCCAGAGCTGGTCTAATCCCTGTCCAGTGTGACAGGCTTCAAGGATTTGCAGACAGCTGCCTCCAGCCTGAGGCTGCTCCTCCTCAGCACAACGAGCTGCCAGCTTCACAGTAGCTCCCCAGGAGCCCAGAGAGACCTTTGCCTCAGTTGGAGAAGAAAGAGAAGACTGCGAAGCTAGGGGTGTAGCTCAGTGATGCAGCAAAGACTGTGAACTTGAGATTTGTAAGTAGGGCAGAGCAGAAGTAGCTCCATCTGGGAAAGATCTATCCCCTGCTTGTAGTCAACTCCCTACCCTTGTCTCCCTGTTTTGGACATTGTGTCATCTTGTGGAATTGCTTGGTACCAGAAACTGTTCAAAGACCTTAACTGTATGAATTCATTTGATCATCACATTAACCTAACAAGATGGGGACATAACTTTACAAATGATCAAACTAAATCCAGGAACCAAAGAATAATCCAGGAACTAACTTGAGGTCAGATCTGCAATAACGGCTGGACCCATGTTGCATTCCTGCCCTGCTGTCCTTGACACTGTCAAGAAACTGCCATACACTAGGAGAGAAACAAGAGTAGTTTTAGAAGTAGGCCCATAGCAGTAGCTAACACTCTGAAACATATGCAGATACTGATCTAGAATCTGTCTTATTGGATGCCCACATAAGCAGTCAGAAATGGTTACAGTCCCCTTTATCATAGAAGAGGAAACAGCTCCAGTGACCAGGTAGATGACTTACCCAAAGCCACTGGCACATGATGGAACTGGGATGGGAACCAGCTGTGTGACTCTGAGCCAGCCTCCTCCCTCTGGGTGTAAGCTCCTCATTTGTGAAATGAGAATGCTGGCCTCAATTAGTTCTGGGGAAGTGCTTCTCAAGCTGTAATGAGCATACACATCTCCTGGGGATCTCATAAAACGCAGATTCTGGTTCAGTAGTTTTGGGTGGCGCCTGGGACTGGATGTCTCTTACAAGCTCCCAGGGGAAGGTGGTGCTGATGCTGCGGATCTCGGGACTACACTGGAGAAGCCAGGCTCTGGGGGACCCACCCAACTCTGATGTTCTGAGTTTATGGGCCCAGGAAGAGTCGCCCCAAAGGCCATGAAAATCTAGGAAGCAGATTATCGCAAACAAAGCTCTTAGTGAGCATTTTCTGTGCCTAGACAAGCTCCAAGTGCCTTTTCTGAAGCACCTGCCCCTAAGCCTCTGTTTCTGACCTGTTGACCTCAGCCTGACTTCTCCAGAATGCTCAAAGGCTTTGTCCTGAGCCAAGGGGTGTTGTTGCTCCCTCAGAGGAATGGATCCCCATGTCTGTGCCTCCTAGCGGCACCAACTGGTCCCCTGGCAGCTATGCTAATCCTGGAGGGCTCTTCACAGATATTTCCCATCTTCTGAGCACACAGAAAGGTTAAGTTTCTCCTTCCTTGAAGTTGGATGTGGTCATATGACTTGCTTTGATGTCTAAATTGAGGTCAAAGTGACCCATGTTACTTTGTACAGAACTCTTTAAGAGCTGCCATGTAAGTCATCATATACCTTTCCTCCTTGCAGGAGGGTAGAAGTAGGTGTCAGGATGGAGCCTCCACCAGTTTGGATCAGTGTGTATCACTTTGAGGAGAGCCTTGCCTGCCTGCCCAGGGCTGTCCTGATATGGTACCGTGGATCAGTGGTGTCCAGTGCTGGAATATCATTTTTGTGCCACATCAGGATTATGGATGTCGACAAATCCCTCCTTCATAGGCGGAAACATCTTGATGAGGGTGGGGTAGCCTCTGAGAGTGTGAACCCCACTTTCCCCAGTCCCCATGAAGGGAACTTGTTTTCGCCATTCACCTAGAGGCTGGCTCCAACCCTGGCTTGCAGTACACTTAGTGTGCATGAGGACTTGCTCTAAAGCTCCTGTCCCCGAGTTTTCCTGTAGATCACGTCCAAGGGTACACCAGGCGCCTTCCTCCTCGTCTCACCTGCTCCTTTCTCTTTGACCTTGTTCTCAGGCTGCATGAGTCACAGTCTCACTCTCTGCCTGACCTGGAGAATGACACTGCATAGGAACCTCCCTATTGCCAAAGTAACATGTAAGAATTCATAATTCTCACAAGCTGGGATGGTGGTACATGCGTGTAACCCAGTACTTGAGAGGCTGAGGCAGGAGGATCTCAAAGGGCAGCCAGGGTTATATATAATGAATTCAAAGCCATTCTGGACTACATAGCATGATCTTATCTTTAAAGAAAGAAAGAAAGAAAGAAAGAAAGAAAGAAAGAAAGAAAGAAAGAAAGATTCATTGATAATTCTCAGTATGAAACATTTGAAACCAGAAGCAGAGAAAAAAATCCTCCATCATTTCACTTAGAACTATGTTCCTGTTATTCTCTTTACTCCTGTCTTCCTTCCACGATGCATTTCTATACCTATAATTTTAAGGTGATCCTATGAAAGGCTGCTCTTAGGAGAAGCAAGAACCAAACTCAAATGCAGAAAATGTCAGAGCTGGAAGGGGATTTGGAAACCATCAACCGACCTCACAATTCCGGTGAGAATTCTGCTTTATGTTAGTCTGGGCACAAATGTTGGAAAAGTAAAGATAAATGTTTAGCAAGGCTCATAGCAAGGTAAGTGATTATTGGCTCTCACACTAGATGGATAGTGAAAATACACTGTTCTGTTTTCAGTCTTTGCAATAAAGGGGCATTCAAGTGTAGTCATGTACTACATAGCAACTGGTCAGCTAGTGCTGGATTCCATATCAGATGGAACTGAACATTGGGCGTGGTGGCACATGCCTGTAATCCTATCAGCCAGGAGGCTGAAGCAGGATAGTCACCATGAATTCAAGGCAAGCCTGGGCAAAATAGTAAGCTTAAGGCCAGCTTTAACTACAACATGAGACCCTGCTTTAAAAATTAAAGATGGGACTGAAGTATTTGTTACCTAGTTTCATCAACTCTGAGTTTATGAAAGCATAGCACGTACAGTTATGTACAGTACATGATACTTGACAATAATGACCATATTACTGGTTCATGCATTTATACACTAGACTTTTTTGTGATTTTAGACTTGCTTTTCCTACTTATAAAAAATTTATCATTAAACAGCATGTTATGTTATGCCAGCAGCATCCTGAGCCATATCATGTTCACTCAGTCTTGTGTACTGTGGCTCTTGATCGCAGTGAGGGGCCACTTCACCTACTTGACTTATACCATCCAAATTGATGTGAGTACACCCTGGTGTTTGCAGAATGACAGACTCACCCAACCATGCACTTTGAAAATGACAAAGTCAAGGAATGTTGCACAGAGAATGTGTTCTTGTCCTTAAGCAACATATGGCTGTACTACTTGCATTTAAAGTGCATTAGTATAATTAAAAGAAAAGAGAAAGCTACATAACAGAAAGCAGTTGGTGGGTTGGGAGTTGCATACTCATGAGTGGCAGGTTGGTGAAGGCCATTATTGCTGTTTCCTGGCCATCAGTCAGTCTCCTGTTGGTGTCACTCTTTGGCTCATTGTCCCTAAGGGTCATTCCAGGGCACCCCT